TAGTTAATATATTATTATTGTACAACAACTGTCAAAACTCACATACCTTCAAAAAGTGATTTCCTATACTACAAAAGATAGGTATCAGGTTTTGTTCGGATTAGGATATTACGACTCAAGTCAATAATTATGTAGAAAATATGGTATCGGTACATGCACGTATACACGGGGGTTTAATGGTTCAAACCAGCTAAACCGAAATGTTTTCAAACAATATTATTTTTGGACATGCAGTATTATATTATTATTTTACCAATGTAAAATACAATTTTGATTTTTTTTAAATATTATTTTGTATCAACTATTTCATATTTGAGTCAATTTGACTATATTAAGCGTTCTACACAATACACATTATTATTGTTTACAATTCTTGTATGGTTTACATAACCGTCCATATCGTATTCGCCGGTGTAATGCGTTATTTTATGATTCATTCCGCAGTCATTCAACGCCTTTATATAGTGCTTGATGGCTTGAACATGGTTTGAGCTCCTTCCATTTTGTCCGTAAAAATATCCTCCAACATTTCCATCAATAACACGTTTACCGCAGCGCGGTCGATGTCGCAGTTGTTAGTTGCCATACTTTATGTTTTGAATGACGAAGATAATTTTTGAGTGTACTTTAGGATTCGATCGAGAGTTAGAAATGAGCTAAATAAGAATATTTCAACACATAGACGGATCTCCGAGAAAATCTCCCAGACGACGGTGTGTGTTACTAGCCAGCTAGTATGTTTATCGTTCTGGTCGGCCCGCAGCATTAGAATTTCGAGCGCGTTAACAATAATAATATAATAACAATTTTATTTTATTTGCAAACAATTCCCAACACATTTTTAATTATATAATTTGCTCCTATAAGCAAAAGCTTGGGTTGAAGGTGAGAGGTTCTCAAATTAGACATCAAATTTAAATTCAAATAATAACAGTAAAGTACAATATAAGATTTACTTAATACAAAATAGAGCGTTCATTTTTCCAAAGACCACTATTATTATTGATAACTTATTTTAATAATAAGTGAATTATAATATTTTAATAACTGAATCATAGCCCAGAAGGTTACACATATTATACACGAGGATATATATTTTATGGTATGTCAATCATCTAATATATTTTGCATTTAGTGTCCATTTTATATAAGTACGATAATTATAATAATATATACGATCGTTACTCAATCCACTACCAACTATTTATAAAATTGCTTACTCGAGATTCTTTAGCAAAACTTTTTTCTCGTGTAAATGCACTTTTATAGACGACCCAGTTGTCCGTCCTAAGAAACATGCCATGTTTGGATTTGAATTTGTTCCTGCAACGAATCGACTATCATCAGTAATAATGTCAATGCAGCATATATGTATTGCTCGTGTCATTGTTGCTGAAACATCAAACATTTCTGTTTCTTATTGTAATGAAAATTATATTACAAATGCCAGTACGTCAATATTGATATTTTATTAGAACGACGACGACTGACGAACGCCTTCGACACTGTGCAAAAGGTACACGATAAAGCAACAATTTCGTAAAACTGCTATATTATGACTAGAACCTGACGATGTTAATTAAATGTCTTATCATTCAACTCTCTCATATATATACACATTTTATTATTTTGTCACTTTATTGTTTATCAATTCGCATTCGTTATTATATGGTTCTTTTATTTAGGGCCTTGGCCTGTTTCGTTGTAAAAATAACATTGATAAGTAAAATTTAATGGGGTGCGATTGTGGAGCAAAGTGCACGGTTTACCTCAGGGATATCTGTTATAATGTTTTGGACATAATATCATTATCATGCAGGGGCGTACTCAGGAATTTTCAATGGGGGGGGGGGGGGTTGAACATTTTGTTTTTTATCACGGGGACTTTGTCCCCTCCTTTTTACAAATATTAAATATAAACATGGTAATGTACCTACTCTACAGAAAATAAATTTCAAAAATGAAAAATGTTTATTTAAAGAACAATATTCCGATTCCGACTGATTAACGTGTTCATGTTTTCTTTTAAGATTATTGTAGGGTTCAATGTACTTAGAACTTCCAGGCACACTAGTAAAAATTGTTATTATTTTATTTTTATTTTTATTTTTTGACTTTAAGCGTTTATGGAAAAAGAATAAATACTTAAATTTTAATACTATCATTAATATTTTTCAAAAGTATATTAAATTACTATACATTTTAAAAATTAATCTGTGTGAAATAGTACAAGTAATTTTAGTATATACCTAATTTAGAAAAAACAATTAATAATTTTGATTAAGGGGGCCTTGACAGTTTTACATTAAATTTAGGGAGCCTCACGACAAAAAAAATTGAGAAATACTGTACTAGATTATAGTGTAAAATATCTAAATATAATAAATATAACTAGCTGTCCCGGTAAAAGATCATGTTTTTAATGTTGCATTTCAATTTGAAAACTACATATATTATTATTATAATATAAATAATAAACCTAATCATAAAATAAAATATGCAAAATATTTTAAACATGTTTTTAGTTTTTTATGAGCACTAGAAAATAATACTCCACTCTACCAGACTACTATTAGAATTAGGAGTAGAATCATAATAGTTTTAATTTAATTTAAAGATTTTAAGAAGGATGCAAATATCCAAAGAAGTGACTAAATTATACATAATATTTTTTTCTAATTGATGTCTACTCGATAAAAATATTGCCAATGAATAAAATGCAAATGTAATTTATAATTACAGGATCCAAATTTATTATACCAACTCAATTAAAAAAAAAAACTTTTTATGATTCAATGTTTTTGTAAATACTGACTTCAATTTTAAAAAAATATTAGCATTTTAATTCTGAAGTTTTAAGACATTTTGCATTTAACAGAATGAATATACAGGCCTTCGTAGGATAAGAAGCGCGCTATAGAACTGTGGTAATATCTTCAATCAAGAGTGTATATGTATAGGGGTCCAGAGTGACGACAACTTATCAATACACCTTGTATGTTTGATTTAAATTTTATCTGGTTATCATAATACAGTTCTTAACAGATAATGCTTGTAATCGTTGTATAATGCATGTTGATATAAAATTGAAAATAAATATATTTGTTTATTTTTTCCCTTCTTAAAAATTTTTTTTAGAAAATTGCTCCTGTGAATTATATTATGTATAAACAAGAACGCACAAAAGTGCATCGGTTAGTAAGGTCATGGGAGGGGTTCAAACCCCACGAACCCCCCCTTGAGTACGCCCCTGTTATCATGACATTATTTGGGCGGACCTACGAAACAAGAGTACATCATTGTTTATATTTTTCAATGCGTCTTGAACAAGTCGAGACGAACAATGTTTACGTTACCTGACCTATATAATATGCTGAAACTTTAAACTTTTATTCCACGGAGGGTCGAATGCGGAACCCATAAAACCGTTTGTGGTCCCATATTCGACGTCTATTTTATTTTTAAAGGACATATCCAATATTATAGTTTTTAAAATTTCGCGTTTTGGAAAACGTCGATGCAGAAAACATAATTTATTATTGGACCGATTTGGTCTATTATTTATAACCGTTTTAAGTACGGGTGAGCGGGTTAAAATTATTGTAGTGCAGTTAAATTCCGCCAAGGACTCTGCCCTGCAGCTGCAGTTAAAGATACTTCGCAGTCCGTGACCAACATAACGTAGGTACAATAAACGTTTATAAATAATAAAGTATATAATGTACGTGCTCAGTAATCGATATATTATTATTATTATTATTATTATACTGTAATACCGAAACGTTCAGAAAGTCGTCTAGCTGTGGAACAAGAACTTAAAAATAATGATCGCCGTTTGAAATATATAAGTACGAAACCGAAGAAATAAACTCCCCCGAGGACAAAAATGCATTCTGATAAAAATACACAGAAATGCATTTATTCTGTGCATTACCTATTTCGTTAAATTCACAACAAACATGTGGGTACATCCGATAATGCTAATCGTCGTCATGTTATTGATTATGCCAAGACGAACAATTAAGTTCGTGTAATTTAGCGATGAATCCTGGAATGAATTATTTACGAATGTATTATTTAAATATCAATAAATCAAAATAATATAGACTGCAGTAGAATAATATTATAACTGCCTTAATATATAGTGTTCTAATATTGTGTTATCGATGAGAATTACCTCTCTGGACGGTTTATATGTCTTGTGAAACTTATGATTTCTGTTCACTGTAATATTATATACAACTGCAGTGCATTTTATGAACAAACCGCAGGTGTAATATAAATAGTGAAATTCAGTTCAAAAACAGCATAAATAATAATAATTATATTATATTGTATAGTGTACCTATACTGTAAATAGCTTGCATTTATATAAACTTGTAATATTATAAACCACATTTCTCGTGGATCTGCCACTTCTAAAACACCGTTCAATTGATATGCAAGCAGTACTGATTTTTAACAAAGTTATTTTGGTTGTATTTATCAAATATAAAATACCGTAGGACGTGTAAAATTAATAATTATGTCCCATCATAATAACAACTAATTTATTTACCGGATAATACATCCAGTGAAAATCGGTTCATCCGTTTCGATGTTTTTCCTGGACAAGCAATTAAAAGACAGACAGCCTGCAAATGTGAATCGCGGAAAAAAAGCCCACGGAAAAAAAGCCCAATGAAAAAAAGCCCAGAAAAAAAAGCCCACTGAAAAAAAGCCCAAAAAAAAAAAGCCCAGAAATACAAATATAAATGTGAACAAAATATAATAATATATTATTATATATTATAATGAAAATAATAATTAATTGTTAATTATAATAGTAATAGTCACAGCAGGTCAGTCAATTTTCAACTGTAATAATACAATAATAATATAAATATTTTGTTGGGTATAGTGTGATACTGTAACATAATAATAATAATAATTAATATCAATCACGGACTATGATTAACAGGACATTATCTTTTTCACCAGCTTCCTACACTGTTCTACTACTATATAATACACAAAGCTTTTTCTATCTTAACACTGTCATCATCTTTCAAATGACTATGTCCTGTTTTTACTTCTGGGTTCTCCATTTTGAGATCGGTGTATAATTCTCCAGTACATTTCATTGAACACCTCTGAGAACACCTCCAGGTTATTTTTGATACGCCAATATACTTTACAACATATACATAACCTTTGTAAAAACCTTTGTTACCACCTTTATTTGATTTGATAATCTCCATATTCACAAAAATTGGTAAAACAAAAGTATAAAATATATAACAAATGTATAACTGGATAAAACTGTACTAGTAGGACGTGTAGATAGTATCTCAATAACCAAGTAATGGAGTACTATATGGAGTGTCAATATTACCCAGTTATTGATAAATTTTAACATTTTGACTGGTTATATATATAAATTATATTGGTAAGTACCGAACAATATAAATTAAATTAAATGTAAAAGTGCTTATCAATAGTTGGGTAATAAAAATGCAATTTATTGACAGGTGGTTCATCAGTTCATGGCAGTATCAAACCCTCTATATAATAATATACCTTAATAATATTTCTTAAATTAAAATACATTAAAAATTTTCAATAGTTATATATTATGTATAAGTCATATTTGAAATTTTAATATTTTCTTTTATAAAATTACCTATATATGCCTCTTCTACAATTATTTATGATTATTATCTGTTATAGTATAGTAATGTATTATTAATATATTATTATATTTTGTTCACATTTATATTTATATTTTTGGGCTTTTTTTCCTTGGGCTTTTTTTCCGTGGGCTTTTTTTCCGCCTACCTGCAAATGTATATCTCCGCGTGTTCCATGCAATATAACATGTAATAGTGTTCTTTTAAAAATCACAGGATGTATACGTTTTGTGATATGCCTTATGCAAGATAAACAAAAGGAAAAAAAAAATTTAAAAATAAGATAGGTTTTTACCAAAGGGTTCTAGCTGTTATTGCAAAAGAGTCAATTTCACAAATCAGTGGTGGTGTCAAATTTTTGTGACTGTTATAATATATATGGTAATACAATTTTATGCACAAAATATTTAAGACATGTTTCCTAAAGACCTAAATTACATTATTATTATTATGATTATTATTAGATGTTATACTGGAGTGTGCAATGTGAGATGCAGGGCCGGTGGTTTTCAATTTGAACTGTGTAACAATGATTTTATCATGTTTTAACAAAAAGGTACAACTAAGAGGGGGTGGGAGGGTAATACAAGGAGGGCACCAAAGAAATATCAAGTTACCATATAACTGACAATATATTTTAATACAACAGTTTGAACATAAATGTTTAGACACATTAAATTACACTGTGTGTCCAATGTTCATATTATTATAATTATAGTAGGCGCATAATGTAATATAATAGATTATAGATTTGAACTATTCGTTCAGTGTTTATATATTGAAATAAATTAAATATAAATGTTTATATAATTAAACATTTTAAATATACTAGAGCTTAAAATGTCGGGGAGTGGCTTATCTTACTACCTATTGTTTAAGTATAACAGATTGAAAACTACTGGTCTAGCATCTCGCATGGCACACTCCACAGTATAATAATACCTTTAATAATAATATATTATATGAATCACGTCTTATATCTTTTGCTCGCAAAATTATAGGTAGACTGCAATTATAAAGCTATCCGTCAGCGACATACGGATTACTGGCCACGGTATGATATATGAGGTGCCCTATAATATGCACTGTTTAATCATATTACGTGGCATGAAGTACCAACATTATTACCCACAGATCTAAAGTTTGACGTAAAGTTGCCGGCGTATGCCCCAAGGGGCACCGTAGATACTTCTAAGGCTACATACCTACTCCTATTATACATAATTATTACACTAATCCTTCCGTTCGCTTTTGTGAGCATATATATATTATATTATATTATATTACACTAACACCTGTCTTCTACATATATATATTACCAACCTACCTGCATAACATAATATTATATTATTATGAATAAAAATAAACGCATTTTACGTACATAATTGGTTATCGCTCTAATGTATTAAGCATGTAATATTATGCAGCACTAATTTCAGTAAGGCTCTAATAGACACGGGTAAAGACAGCGGGCGTTTTCTTTCCAAAGCTGATAAATGATAAAAGCTATAGTCATGTATTTATTAAATTTGTTTTGTGAAATTGAATTTTGGTAATTAATGAATAAAAGGTAGGAAAATATATATTTGAACGATTATTAACGATTTTTCATAGACCTACTTGTTTTGATAAATATTTGTATAATTTGTATTAATTCTGTATTAATTCCAATTGGAAAGAAAATGGCGGCTGTCATTATTTCACTTAATAATAGAACTAATTTCTTCTACATTGAACAAATTAACGCTTTCACTTAAATATTTATTAGTTATAAATTTTTTGTCTGATAATTTTACTCTCATTGTTTAAGATAATTCAGTAGTAGTAAAAGATACAATATAGTTTTTTTTATGTAGTGAGATTGTGAGAATTTATAATAAGCTGAAGTATAAAAGTGGATAGACTAATATTGGTTAAGCCGGAGCAACATTCTACGAAGAGGATGGTTATGACGAAATTAGGTGAGATGGGTGGGAATAGAAAAAAGAGAATGGTGTCTTATAGAGTGGAAAGGAATGCGAAGAGATATAGATGTCAATAGATCGGGTGCATCGATAGTTCCGTTAAGAAGTGAGTTAATGAACGCGAGAACGTCAGCATAGCGGCGTGAAGTCCTAGTTGGAATATTAAGGGTAGATAGGATTATGGTGTAGTCATGCAGTGGGTGCTCAATTTTTAATAAAATGGCTGCATAAGACAGGAAGTAGTTTTAGACTCGTTCAATGAGCAGTTATTCAGAACAAAGGTATGGATACCAGATGACAGATTGATACTACGACAGATACTCGTAGATTGAGCGTACCAAGCAGAAGTAAAGAGTTCAATTGAAGGTTGTGGAGGAGAAGAGAGTAGTATTGCATTTAATGAACCCGATGATCTTGAGACTCCCCCCAACGATAAAATTGATGGGGTGTTTGAAAGAAAGGGTGGGTTTTAGATAAAAGCCTAGAGAATTATGAACACATTCCACTTATTTGAGTGGGCCTGTCATAATTAACCGACCCCCCCCCCCCCCCCCTGTAGTTGTATTTAAAAAATATAAACACACAAAATTTTGATTTATTTAAGTTAGACAGATACAGTAAACGCTGGTCAACCAGGATCTGCTACCTCCGACGATACTTATCCTCAATATTCCTTAATTATTGTTCGTATATACGTTTTCAGAATAATAAAAGTAAGTGCATATGATTTAAACTTACGAATTGTATGTATAAGAAGCGGTGTCACACCAACTGTGGTAGTGTGGTGTGTACCTTTTCAACTGGCTCGAACGACTACCACTATTAGAAAATGACGGAGAACACTCAGAAAAAACATACCAAGGACGCAGGATAGTCCAAACCACGAAACATCTGGTGAAAAAATTAGTCGATTATAAAATGCAATAAAAACCATGAATGAAGACATTGTGGAAATGAAAGAGTATTATTCAAAGAAAAATTGGACATTTCCCATTAAATCCATGAAATTAAGGAGTCTACCTTTACACTTCTCATGAGCTCTATGACATTTCTTATTATGGGTTTGATATTTCACAGATAAGCATACATTTCCCATAAAATACACGACCTAGCTACTACGTATACGTCAGATCCATCGATGATACTTTCTTTTAAGAAGTCAAACCACTTGTTGGATTTATTTGTTTTAATCCAAAATTATATCTGTCTTCACCTTGCTAAAACATTAACGGATATTGTAAGGCATCATAAGATTTATGAGTTTCTTGAACTCTTACATATTCTTGACTTAGTTTTTGCATTACAATATCACGTTTTTCAAATTCTATGCCATTTATTATTCAGCTAGTTCATTGATCACTGCTAGATAAAAATATAATTCATTTTCACCTGTGACAATTTGGTCGGCTTTAATAACTATTTAAAAGTTAAGTGCATTCATTAAATGCATAAAATGCATTAAACTATCTGTTATTTTTATTAGTAACTTGTTTTAACATAGATGCGTTTTTGGGCTTGGCGCCACTTTTTTTTTCAAACCAATTTTCACAAGGCCTTATTTTTGTAACGCTATTTGTTTATTGACATTATAGAAACAAAAATTAACAATAAATAAAAATAAAATGTAGTAACCATGCTCATGCTAGTATGCTATTAGATATTTTTCCACTGTACTACATCCAAAGTCATATATATGATTCCTCAATTGCCCTTGCAGAGGCTAAATATCTAGTAGTATGCTGTACTTAATAATATATAAGAACTATTTTTTTTATAAAAATTGTGTATTATTTTCGTTCCTACTTTTTAAAAGTCAGTTATTGATCTTATCAATAACCAAATAATTTGCCATTTCATATTTTTCTAACGGTATGCTTTATCTTCGAAATTTATTGTTGTCATAAAACGTGATAGTAGGAACCGTTTGTTGAGTGGTTATTATAGATTTGATACTACTATTTGTACAAATTCGGAAAAACTAAACTTCGTTACATACTTACATCTGTATAACATTATGGTAATTTTAAGAACTTCACAACAACCGTTATAAATGAGCATATAAAACATAAGATGTCATGAGATTTGGAAGGTCTTGGACTTTTAATTTCAGGTTATCAAGCCCGGTAAGTCATTACAACCGATGTCATTATAAAAAAATTCTCCTGTATTTATTATATTAATTGTTTTCGAAACGTTCAGTTTTTGAGGCGATTTCGTCTCGCTTAGGAGGGGACCGATGTAACATTAACTCATTAAACTTATAATGTCGTTAATAAGCAATGCATTAAACTTATAACGTCGTAAGAAGCAACCAATATTCGACTTGAAATACATTATTTCGATCCTGATTAATTTGTAATATTGTGCTCGAACAATGTGTCGCATTGTATTAAAACGCTTTTTATTTTATAAGCCCACTATGGGTAGAGACGTAGAGTTGTAATAATGGTTTGAATTTTCATGCAATTTTACAACTTACTTTTTCACGGATATTAATGAGTTACATAAGATGTATGTAATATAGTTATGTTAGATGAACTCGTTACGAAAATAATACAATTATTATTATAAATATTATTACGTCTTCAATATTAGCAACAGCTGAAG